GGCGCATGCCTGTAATCCCAGCTACTGAGGAGGATGAATAAGGGGGATCGAAAGTTCAAGGCTGGCCTGGGCAATGTAAGGAGACCCTATCTCAAAATAAAAGTTAAAAAGCTGGGGACAGAGTTCAGTGCTTTCCTAGCATTTGCAAGGACCTGGTTTCAATCCTCAGTGCTGAAAAAAAAAAATCAGTTGATCAATAAACACCCCATCACCACCAAAACAATAAATCAATAGAGGGCTGATCTGTCAGCCCCATTAGGACACCGGCCACGGCAGCAAAGTAGAACTGCCCCTTTGATAGGGGAACCAGATCTAATGAATCGGCCCAGTTAAGGTTGAATTTCAGCTGCACAAAACAAATTCTTCAGTCTGCAGTTCAGGTGAACATCTGCAACTCAATGGAACTGGACGTCCTGAGCTTTCATTGCCAAGAGTGGACGTCCTGCCTTCAGCACGTCTCCGGGTGGAACAGTTCTGCTTCCAGGATGCAGCTAGGTGACCAGAAGCCATGATGTCTCTCTATCTGCAGCTCCACAGCCACCTGGGGCCTGTCCTGGCTGAAGTCTTCAGGAGGTGTGGGTGTCCTTGGGGCCCCCTTGCTCTGTCACAGCATTGGGAACCTGGGTGGTGGAGACCATTTGGTTGATGACAGTGCCAAGGAAAATCGGGGAAAGGGTTCGAGAAGGAAGTTTTGGAAGAGTTAAAATGACTGTAGGGGCAATCTAGAGTGACCCGGAAGCAGAGTCAGCACATTCTGCAGCCCGGCCACCAGCAGCAAGCCGGAGGGGAGCCCAGGAGGAAACAGGAAGCACGGGACACACTGCTCACCCACTGCCCAGGCGCCAGGGCCCCCAGCTCTGTTCTCACCACACCTGACGGGACTTCTCCTTCCCAAACCCGCTCACTGCTAGCTCACCAGGTCCTGGGCAAGGAAGAACTGGGTTCAGAGGACCAGAGGTCCAACCCCAACACTGCCCTGTGCAGGGGCCAGGTCACCTTTCCTACTGCAGGCAACAAGCCCCATTAAATGAGCTCAGAGAGGCGAGCCGTGAAAGATAGTGATGTGTGCCTTTTCTCTCCAACAGGGTACCCAACACGTAGTAGGTGCTCAATAAATCTTCACTGCATCTGAACTTGAAATGAGCTAACGCTAGGCTCCGTTGTCTGCGCTGTTCTGATTATAGGGAAAAACGAATGGGCTTTTCTGAGCCAGTAGACACCATTCACTACTAAATTCACTTTAAAGCGGAGGGGAAAAAAAAGCCCTCTGTGTCCTGCATCACCACGGAGAAAAGAGATAAGGCTTATGCCCGGAATGAATTCAGGCTAGTATTTATGTAGAGAAGTAATCAGACCATCAAAGCAGAAGCAGAAAGTGAAAGGGTGTTAAGACAAATGAATTTAAAAGCACACAATACCAGATCCTGATTTGCTTTCCCAGGCAATGAAATATTTCAGAAGATTAAAAATGGTTATGCAACGCCCAGGATTCCACATTGTCAAAAAGATTTGTAACTCAATGTTTTCCTACCCAGGTACCAAATGAAAGAGTTCCATCTAGGTTTTGATCCTGGCAATTTTTTTTTAAAGATATAAAATATATTGAAATATTTAAATTGCTTGTCAAATGTAAACTTGCCCGTGTCCTGACACTTTTAAAATATAACGTGGCTTCAAACATCACTTCTCCTGATAGGATTTTTAAAGTTGTTTTATAATGCATTAATAGTGAAGATCAGAATCCGAAAGACTACTGTATTTGTAATATCCACTTTATTTTTTTTTTTTTTCCCTCAGCCCCTGTAATTTCCAGAATGTAATTCTGCCCCCAGCTGGTTAAAACATCTCTGACATCAGAGAGAAACGGGAAACTTTGGACGGGCTCTGCTCGTCAGGGGAGGGCCAGGGTGCTGGGTCTGCAGAGCTGACCACGCCCTGGGGGACGAGACCCCCAGCTCTGAGGGTTTTGCCTGTCTGCAAGGAACAGGCCATCAAGAGACCCCAGAAAGAGAGGGATGCACTTCAGAAGGGCCTGGTTGGCGCGTCCTCCCCGGAGCTTCGCCATTAATGAGGTATCGATCGCCTGGCTCTGATAATTGTGCAGGCGCTGGAGATCTGAGCGGGATGGAAAGTTAATAAAGATGACCACACTGTCACGCGGGCGTCCCAGGCGCGCCAAGGAGCTTGGATTTGTTTTCTTAATGGGAGCGTTTCCTCCTTTCCCGTTAGGTTTTCTCAAATGTATTCTGGCTTGGCCGTGTCACAGGGGAAACTGCAGGTCCAGCAGCTCGGGTCCTGTTGGGGGCTGTGCACCCCCATCCCAGCCGGGGGGGGGCATCTTCCACCCCAGGCTGAGGGCTGGCAGCTGAGTGGCCAAGGTCACCAACATCCCGATGGCCATCCTGAGTGCCACTGAAGGCTCGGCCTCGGGCCCTCCTCCACCCTGAGCCACGAATACGGGGGGCAGAGGGGATTTCAGGACTCTGTTCTGACCAGGGTCTCTAAAGGGAGCAAGGAAGTGGTGCTGGCCACATCCGAACTCCAAGGCAGAAACAGGAGACCCAAGAAGCACCCGGGGACTTGGCCCAGAATGGCTGCTTGGAGATCCCCACGGCAGCCCGTGAGAGGAGCTGCGGTCCCAGGGGGGCTGGCAGGGGTGGACAGAGGGTGGGCTCTGGAACATGAAGGGCTGGTTCAAATCCCTCTCGGCCGTCTCCCATCCTGTGACTTTAGGAGGTTCTCTAACTTCTTAGCCTTTCCTTTCAGCATTGGTGAGATTTGCAGAGTCCAAGAAGAGAGTAAAAACCTATGGGTCCCTCTGCACATGCCGGCCCAGTCCTCGGCACCCACAGCAGGCGTTCCCCGAACGGAAATGCTTCCTTCTCCCAGGGCTTCAGTTGGCAGACAGCCACCTTTTTCTGTAAAAGGCCAGATAGAGTCAGTAGTTTGGCTTTTGCAGGTCAAAGAGCAAACATCGAAGATATCACACCAATAAAATACTTACAAAGCAGGAGAGAAGCCCAGGACGGAGGCACAGGCCTATAATGCCAGCAGCTCGGGAGGTGGAGACAGAGGTATCACAAGTTTGAGGCTAGCCTCGCAACTTATGGAGGCCCTCACCACTTAGTGAAACCCTACCTTGAGATTCAAAATAGAACAAGGCTGGATATGTGGCTCCGTGGTTAAGTGCCATCATCGAGTTCAATCCTAGTACCAAAAAAAAAAAAAAAAATGAACAAAAATAAAACAAGGAGAGGAAATTTTTTCTTGAATTTTTATTAGTGAAATTAAAGATATCATAGTTATGACTTTATTGTCACACAGGCCTAGACATGGGGAGGGTAGAATTCTATGTGTTTTTGAGATATTATGTTTAATACTTGGCGGTGTTTCCTATCAGCAAATCCATTGCCAATGTTCCTGGTAGAAACTAGTCTTAGCTCAAAAGTTGAGCAAAGCCAGGTGTAGACTGGACTTGCCCGTCGGCTGCAAGTCACAGCAGAAGGGAGGGTAGGAGGCCACTCCAGCCTTATCTCCCTGACTCCCTAGGGTCCTGAATGAAACTGTTAACCTTCCCCTCTGCTGTGGTCCGGGTGCTGCCCCGCCCCCCACCAAATTAACAGATGAAAACCTGCTCCCAGCACAATGGTACTAAGAGGCAGGGACCTGGGGGGGGAGGGTGAACACGTCATGGGATGGAGCCCTCATAAGTGGGATTAGTGTCCATTTTAAGAGACCCCAAGAGTTTGTTGGGCCCTTTGGTCAGGTGAGGACACATCCAAAATCACCATCTATAAACGAGACCCGTCCTCGCCCAGACACTGAATCTGTTGATACCGAGGCCTTGGACTTCCCAGCCCTCAGAACTGTGAGCAATAGAGTCCCATTGTTTGTAAACAACCAAGTCTACGGTATTTTTGCTATAGCAGCCCGAGCAGGCTCAGAACCCTTATCTCACTGCCAGTCCTTGTGCCTCTGGCACCTCTTCTGGGAAGCTTTCCATGATTTTACCTTGCTCAGGCTCTAACAGACTCCCCGAGACACTGCAGAGACACAGGAAGCCCCTGGAGGGCAGGCCTGGGCTCTCTCACTTGGAGTATGCGGTTGGTTCAGCCCCAGGACCTGCAGAGCTGAGCCATGTCTCTGTGGGAGGAAGGGTATGGATTAAAGCTAGGCCAAGCCAGAGGCCAGGCTGCCTCCTTCCCTCAGCTATGGAGCAGGAGTCATGAAGATCAGCAGCACTAGTGCCAGCGCAGACCCAGTGACCACACTGATGTCCACTTCTCACCAGACATGATGTAAGGGAGGCACCACTCTCCCCATTCCACCGATGAGAAATTGCCTGGCAAGGTGCCGTGGCTAGTGTGCGGTGGGGGCAGGATGCAAGCCCACCCCCGTCGCGCTCCGAATCCTGTGCGGCCCATTGCAGGCGGCTCCTGCTCCCCAGCCAGGGCCTGCGTGGGCAGCCCCCATCTCTGTAGCATGCTCTGCCTCCTGGAAGCCTCCTCTCCACCACCTCTCCCCAGTCCTCCAGCACTGAGAGCCCAAAGCCAACGGTAAGAGTGACGTTCAAGTGTGGGGGACTCTGGGTCTGCAGGCTGCTGGCCTCCCCTTTGCCTGAGGCCCCGCCAGGAGAGGTAAAAGCAGAGACAGGGAGACTGAGTGGGGAAACAGGCCCAGAGGGTCCTGTCCAGCCCTTGGCGTGCTTGAAATGGCATGGGAAAGCCAGGCTGTAGCTCAGCCAGGCCCTCCCTCTATTGTTTGTTGGTGTACTCAGGGATTCAACAGTGGTGCTTCCGTGGGCCTAGCTCTGTGCTAGGCATTACGTTCGTAGGACACCTACAGAGAGAGAGAGCAAACCGTGATGTTTTTAATAGGGGTCACGGTCAGTGGTGCAAATCTGAAAATTGGAGTCCAGGGGTGAAAAATGCCACTGTGAACTGTCCCCAGTCACAGGACACTGTAACTACCTGGAATGGTCCGACGAGCCACCTCCTCCCTAATCTTTGCTCTTTCCCACGTGATCTCCTCCCATCCCCTGGCCTTTGATGCGACGTCTTTAGAGAGGATTCTAAATTACTTCCTCCCAGGGCTTCGCTCCTTCAATCCAGCGACCTCGTCAACGCCATCGCCTGATACATGAGGAAGCTCCAACTTAATATGCAGAAAGCAGAATCCTGATCCCCAAACAATGCAAACACATAAACAGAACAAAGGCTCACTCTGCGGGTCTTGTCCCAGTGACTGGCTGCTCTGCAGGTGGAAGCCTTGGAGGCAGCCTCGACACCTCTCCCGTGTGAGCCTCACACTGAAGCCTCTGCCGTGGCCCTGCTTCCAGCCCCCATCCCTGTGGTCACCACTGCGGCCCAGCCCACCTGCTCCACCACGCTGCCTCCATCCCGGCCCCGCAGATTGCTCCCCTGTGGCAGCCGAGGGTGTCGTTTCTCTCCCTGTGAGCCCAGCAGCCTCTCAGACCAGATGCATCTGGTCCCCCAATCTCATCGCCATTGTCCCCTGCTGCTCTGCCTGCTCTGGCCTCTTGGCTCTTCTCGAGTGGGTCAGGCAAGCACCTGCTCAGGTCTGGGCACTGCTATTCCCTCTGCCCGGAATGCCCTTCCCCAAAGGTCCGTGTGACCTGGCCCCTTCTTTTCTTCTGAGCTCTATTCAGAAGAAAATAGAGCTCTTCTTGCCTGCCTCTTTTCTCCGTGGCTATCGGGACGTCTGTCTGCATTTCAGATATGTCAATCTGTCCATTGCCACCCAGCAAGGGGACGGCCAGGAGGGCGGGAAATTGTCTGCTTGCCTCTGTTCATGCTGTGCCTGGAATAGAGCCAGGCCCAGCGGAGAAGCTCTGGGAATGTATGTTGGGAGAGAGAGAGAGAAGGAGCGGGTGGGGGAGAGGGAGATGGAGGGAGAGACATGGAGTGGGGAAGGGAGGGAGACAGGCAGAGAGGAAAGAGAGGTGCTCTAAGCTCTTTGCAGTTTCTCTCTTTGCAACTTAACCTCAAACTTGAGGCTAACTTCAGAGGCTCGTTAACTTTTCTTTGCCTGATGCTCTTCGTGATCCCTTCCCTTTGTTCAGCTCTTTTCTAAGTCCCTCAAACTTTGTGCGACCCACATTTCGAGTTAGAGCCAAGTACGCTCACTGCAAAAACTTCAACTTGCAATCTTGTTGTCTCAAACATCCTGAGGTTGTATAATAACCAAATGTCTTTGTTCTCACGATGAGAGTATGCATCAAGAATCAAAGAAGCAGGGGGAAAAGGAACGTTCCAGGCTATTACTGTAACAATCCAATTACAATGCCTATCAAACTTAACTTCACAGGTTATAGCTCCTAATTGCCTGACAAAAATTGACACTTCAGTCGCAACAGCATAATATAATCAGAGTCCAAATTAAATTTGATCGTGGGCAGAAAACGATGCTATCATTCGAAGGCATGGAAACAGGAGACCAGCTAGCATGATACCAGGGATCAGAAATGAAAATTATTCATTAATGGCAGTGCGTTTCTGATAATGGAAATGACACCGTTCAGACGGCTTCGTAAAAACACTATTAATTAAAAAGATGATAGACCTAACAAGCCGTAGAAAGCAGAGGGCTTATTTTGGGGTGTGCTTGTTAAGGTGAAGGATAACAACGTGCGAGAACGTGCGTCGATGCCCTTTTGTGAGGAGTGTTCCGCCGACGCCTGAGCCAGGTTTACTGGCCGTTGCTCTGTTCAACAGCATCCTCCAGGGGCCTGTGTTTCAGGACTGTAAAAATGAAAAAAAAAGAGAGAGAGAGAGAGTCTTTGGCCATAATATGGCAGTGCAGTAAGTGCCATCGCACTGGCTATAAAACAGAAGGGCCCAATTCATAAAAGAAAGGCACAGGGGAATTCTGCTCACATAAAAGAAAAGCAATGTGTGGAAAGCGCTCGGGAGCGCGTGTGAGCGCAGGCAGGTATGTGTTTCCACGGAGCGAGGTCTGGGTGGTTTCTAGGCTGGGGAGTCGAGTTTTGGAGGGTATCCAGGTGGAGGACACACAGTGGAAGTATCTGTTTTTGGTTTAAAATATTTTTTTTTTTGCAGGAAAGTCATATTCTGTGATGAAGAATGATGATTTGGCGACTGGTTCATTCAATCCTTATTGACTGGGTGTGTTCAACAGGTTGGACCTCATTCTTGGATCGAGGGAAGTACCACGGACCAGGGCAGCAGACACTTGCCCCTTCTTAGGGAATATGTGGTCTAGCCAAAGAGATGGGCAGTGGCCGCTGCTAAGGCCGGGAGGAACCACAGGGAATTTGGCTGCTCTGTGACAGGAGGGCAGGAGGGTTTCTCGGAGGAGGTGACTTTGAAAGGGAGATGCAAATGAGGAAGGAAGGAGAAGGAGGGACAGGCTGCAGCCCAGGAGATGACATGGTGGAGCGCCGAGTGACAGGTGAGGGTCAGCTAAGTGAGGAGGCTTCGGAGTAGAGACAGACAAAGGCACCCAGAGCAGGGCAGCACCGTGCAACCCGACTCTTCTTCCTTCTCTTGAGGTTGGTCCTCAACCCTGGGGCTCTGCCACTGAAGGAAGGGAATGTGCGAGACAGGAGGGCCCTGCCCTGCTGGATTCCGTGTGGCCATGTGCCACTGCTGGGATGGGCCCAGTGAGAGCAGGACGGACGTCCACCAGCCTTGGACACAAGTTTAGGAGCCTCTGCACGATGCCACGGGGCTCTTCTCCCTCTATCCCAAGGGCCAGGACCTTCCAAGTCGAGTCCCCACCTCAGCCTGAGTCCAGAGTGAAAGGGGCACAGCTCGACCCAGAGTCCACCCACTGGGTGTGCAGCAAGAGGAGGAGTTGGTGTCTCGGTATGTCACTGTGCCCTTTGGTCACTGTACCTGGCGCCCAGCGCAGCCTGTCCTGTGGCCGCATCCAGGTGGGTGTGCACACAGAGCCCACTGGGAATTCTCGGCATCTTTTCACAACCCACGTGGAGAGGAAAAGATCCAAAGGGTCCCTCGGGGAGAGATTCTGGTGCCCTGTAAAGAACCTTCCAACGAGATTGACGGGTGGCCCTGGTCGAGTGCTTGTGAGGACCCCTGAAACCTGAGACTCCACTTTTTGATTCTGTTTAGGAAACCTGGTGTCCCCCATCCCCAAGAACCACCAGTCCACAAGAAATGGAGTCCATGACCAGGATGCTCAATCCAGTTAGATTTCATCGGGGCCAACGTCACTCCATGAAGACTCGGTTTCACCCCACGCGATACCACCTAAGGCATGCGAGCTACTTCAGAAGCTTCCTCCTGCCCGCCTGTCTCCTCGGACTCTCTCTGCTGCCCTTTCTGTTTCCTCTCCCTCTCTCAGTCTTTCAAAGGACAGGAACCCGGGGATGAGGCTGTGTCTTCGTCCTCTCTGGGCTGCTGTAACAGAACACCCGAGCCTGGGTCATCTCAGGGCCATCCGCGATCCCAAATGCCTAGAGATGCCCAAGGAAATGAGGTCACCCGGTACCGAGTCAGCTAGCTGCCCCAGCCCTCTCCTGGGGTAGGCCCCATGGTTGAGAGTAGAATCTTCTAGAAGCAATCCCATGCAGCCTCCACTAACCTATCCAAGGACTGGGGCTTTTGGCCCCAAACCCTCTGGGTGCTTTTGACTCATTTTGCTTCTTCAGTGACACCAATGGTCCATCCGTCCCATCAGTATTTGCTGAGCACGCACCACCTGCCAGGGGCCACACTTGTTGGCAGAGATACCGTGGCAAGAGGAGCTTAGTGCCTGCCCACGTGGACCTTCTGCTCCTAGGGAGCAGACAGACCATGCGTCCATAAAGAAGGGACTGTGAGGGACAACTGCGGGGCCACCTGTCCTCCGGATGAAATGGGGTCGCGGGATGTGGGTGAGGGAGACCAGGGTGCCTCCCGCAGAGGCTCTGGCGGACTTCACCTCCTGCACTGAGACCTGAGGAGCCAGGCCAGCAGGCTAGAGGGATGGACGGAAGGCCTGGCTGCTTGAGAAGCTGTCCCCAGGCAGGTGGGTTCGGGAGGGCAATGCACCTTCCCAGACCTGCCACCCCGAGGTGGCTCTCCAAGCCCAGGGTTCTCTGTCTCAGCCACACGCTGGAGTCCCCCGCCTGGATTCCTCCCGGTGTCTCCCACCGTGAGTCCCATGACACTGGGATCTTTGCCTTCCTTCTGTCTATAAAAATGCACAGAGTGAATAGGACAGGAATGAGGGACATCTGAGCTGCTGGAAAGGCTCTTGTCCAGGGATGGGCTGGGCCACCAGGTGTCCCGGCCCTGGTGAGGGAAGCGTTCCTCTCTGCTCAGGTGCAGGGTGTGAGGCCACAACTGGGCCCACAGGGGTCCCTTGCCTTCCTCCTGTCATTGTCCACTATGGAGAACTAAAGCGGTGCTGATGTGGTGACCGTGGACAATAGCGATCGTGGGAAGCCGCACCGAGCTATTGTGCCTGAGAACCATCTGTCCAGTAGACGCACTTGTCCAAGACCACACTGGGCACACGCTCCTGGAGAAGAGCCTGTCCCCGCTGTCCCCAAGGGGAAGAAACTGGAAATAAACAATGAGCAGCTTCCCAAAAAGCTTTACGGCCTCCCAGCGGCCCGCGGTGCCACGGAGCTGGAATCAGGACATTTATTCTCCTCCTCCCCCCAGCGGTTTCTGGAAGGCTCTGCCCCACTTTCCAGGGTACAGGTTGCCCTTGTTGGCCCTGAAAGCTGGTAGAATAGCTACACCTGTGTCAAAAAGAAAACAAGATCTTGGCAGCAAAGCCGTGCCTTTGTGCAAAAAAGAAAAAAAAAAAAAGAAAAGAAAGAAAAATGTGTGAAGCTCTGTACCTACCGCACATGCTCCAGGGAGGGAAATACCAAGGGGCACGGCGCACCTCCAGAACAAGAGGAGGAAGGACACGTGGGGCCCTTGACTTCCATCCCTAACTGAAATTAATTCCCAGGTGGGTTAAAGAGCCAAATATGTAACTGGAAACATGGGCAAATATTTATGTAACAAGGGGTCAGGACCATGGTGTTAACTATGATCAACCACAAAATCAATGAAGAAACCATAAGAAAAAAAATACTGTTTTTTGAGAAAAGTTTTAAAATTCTGAATCTCAAATATAAGAAAAAAAAAAAAGTCAGATTCAAGCCAGGACAAAATATATTGGCCATAGATCTAAATCAAGAGTTGGTCGTTTTAACATTAAAAAAAAAAAAAAAAAACTCCTTTATAAATTGAAATGAAAAAGACGATCATCCATCCCCCATAGAAAAATGAGCAAATGATGTGAACAAGCGATTCACAGGGGAAATCCCAGCAATCAGTACTCTTTGGGGGGAAAACCTCTACATATCACTTCATCAAGAAGTAAGAATTAACAAACAACGAGGTGCCTGCTTCAGACATTCAGACGGACAGTGGTTTGGGGGAACGGTGACATCCAATGCAGGCATCTGAGGAGGGAATAGATGGTCACACCATTTGGGGAGGCTGACCTTTTCCTTTTCATGCCCAGGCCTGTGGCAGAGAGAAACAGAAGATGCCCCCACCCTCATCTCCAGCTCCTGTGAATGTGACATGTGACTCTGCAGAGGGAGCTTGAAGTGGCAGATGGAATCAAAGCTGCTCATCAACTGACCTTAACATGACCTGATCCTGGAAGACCCCAGAGGGCTCAGTGTAATCCCTGAGAGTCAGTTTCAGATGCCGTAATGGGAGGACTGGACTGGCCATGGCTGGCTAGCGAAGGGAGGAGCCATGAGCCAAGGAGCGCAGGCAGCCTCTGGAACCTGGGAAAGACAAGGAAAAGATGCTCCTCTAGAACCTCCCAGAGGAACGGGACCCGGCCACAGCTCCATCGCTGCCCATGGTGGACATCTGACTCCCTGGACTGTGACATCGTGAGATGGTGTTGTTTGAAGCCCCTAACTTCACAGTGACTTGTTAAGGTTGCCATGGGAAAGTAAAACACAGCCCCAAATAGTTTTCTAGTAATGTATCCTATTAGAAATATTCAGAAACGCAACCAGAGATAGATTCAGTCATGCTTATCGTGGCATGCTATATAAAAGCAAAATTTGGGGATCGATTTTATGGCATACAATGAGCTATGACTGAGAAGTGGGTACATCTATGATGTAGAAGATATGCAGCCATTAAAAGCATTTTGTAGAAGATGATTTTTTCCATAGGAAAATGTCTGCAATGATATTAGTTTGAATGCAGGCTATAATACAGTATGTAAAATAGCACACAGTTTTTGAAAATCTACATATCTTCAACACATTTATTTATACCAAAATATTAGCCATGATCCTTGGGTGGGTAGGGGTACGAATGACCCTATTTTTATTTTTGTTTTTGTCTATGTTTTCCAAGTGTTCATCACAAAGCCTCTTTTACCTAAGTAATTTTTTTTGAGAATATATTATTACAAGTGTATCATTTGTACAATGAGATAACATGCTACCGTTTAAAAAAAAATCAAACTGTGGGAGGATATTTAAGGGTATTGAAAAATAGTAATGACATATCACTAATGGAGTGTTTCTGGATGATTTGTCTGGGGTTTAAAAGATCAACTGGAAGCACCCTGAACAGTTCGTGGTCGGGAGGGGTTCTAGGAGGTGTTTCTTGTCTTATCTGTTTTCTGCAACTGGAAACAAATGGATAATTTTGGTTGTTGCCGATGCTTAGAAAAGCATCAGGGTGGGTCTCCTCGAGTTGGACCAGCAGGTGGCCACAGCTGTGGACTCAGGGGAGCCCTTACGGTGCCCACTGCCCTGGCCCAGCAGGGGCTAGGGGACAGGGACAGAGAGCATGGAGCATGAGCCCCGGGGAGACAGAGGTACTCTCTCTGCTGGCTGTGTCCCTCCCTCTGGTGGCCTGTGGCTGTGGCTACATGGCAGAGGGGACACTCGTTCTGAGTGGTCTGTGTGGGCGCTTGCTTCCTGGAATCCCTATGTCCTTACCTGGGGCCGCTCTGGGGCTGGTCAGCTGCCCTGCAGGAGCTCCCCAGCTCCGCCTGCAGGCAGTCCTGGCCCTGGAGGGAGGCTCCCCTGAGCCCCAGGTGAAGCAGCCCTTACTTCCTCTTCTCCAGACAGGGTGTCCCCGTCTTTCTCGGAAGTGACATGGTGGGGCCACCTGCCTCTGGGACTGTGCTTCCACCCTTAACCACACCTGCGTGTTCAGCCTCCCGATCACCAGCCCTCAGGGGCGCTGCCTCTGATCCCAAGGCCCAGGCTGCTCGGCCCCCTCCCTCGGCCCCCACCCTGGCAGTGTGACTTTACGCCTCCCCAAGCTGCAGAAAGGACTGCCACCCCCGCTGCTGTCCCCTCCCCTGCCTGCATGCCTCGCGGGGTCTCCTGTTCAGGTCTCCATGGGTTGCTCTGCAGCAGACCTAGGAGGCTGGGAAGGCGAATGTGTGTGCCCACCCGGGCTCTTGGACCAGCAGTTGGAGTTCTGTGCTCTTTGAGGATGTCACCTTTATTAACTTCACAGCGAGGACATGCAGTATGGGAATCCCAGTTGTCCCCATGGACTGGTGAGAGCCATGTCACAGCAGGTCCCTGCTTTACTGAAGTCGTGGCTTTAAAGGCTCACAGGAGAATAGGAGAAAGGTCTTATGTGACAGGTGGATGTGCAGAGAGGACAGAAGGCAGAGAAGGTGCCACAACAGAGACCCATGTGCCAGGGTCGAGAGCCACAGTGAGACCACAGGGAGTGGATTTAGAGAAGGGTAGTCGTGCCTGTCTGCACCAGGGATCTGGCTTACTGGACACATAGGATGCCTCTACTGTTTACTGTCCCCCTGGCCACCCCACCTCTGCTGGTATCGAAGGCTTGAGTCTGGGGAGTTATTTTGGGGGAGTGGGGTCTAATGGCCCAGCCCTGGCTCCAGGCCAACTGGGCTCCAGGACGTCTCTGTTGGCCAAGGGCACAGATGGAAACCAACCTGTGGCTGAACCACGGAAGAAACTGCCTGAGGGACACAAGGGGTCCTAAGGCTCCAACATCCCTGTCCCCTGGACAGTCACACAGAAACCCCAAGCCCCAAGGGCCCTGTAATGGGTGCCCCAGGAAGCAGGCTGCGTCTTCCTAATTGGGCAGCAAGTCCACGAGCCGGGCCAGGCCGAGATGGGCCTCTTGTGCTCACCTCTGTCTTCCAGAGAAACCAAGGCCATCTGATGCCCAGGGGTTGACGTGATAATTGAGCGCCAAAGGGATCTGGCAGTCCTGATGCAAACACTGAGGGTGCCAAGATCATTGGCATGAACTTCCTTTCGGGCCAGCCTGGACGCTGGCCAAGTAACCAGTGACAACTAGAGTTTCAACCTCTGGATTTGAACATGTCCACAGGTCTACGTGGGAGGCTGAACGGGGCTGGGCCTCTCTCCCACCCTGGCCCTGTTGGTCATCACCTGGGCAGGAGGCCACAGATCTTCTAGCAGAGGCAGAGGGCAGTGCTGGGGAAGCCCGGGGCTGGAGGTTGTTGACCAGCCAGGGCAGGAAACACCACATGGAGATGCCAGCAGCACAAACAGGCTTTTCACCTGGGCCTGAGGAATGTTCTGGAATTTCCTGTGGTGACCTCAAACACCTAGTCCTGGTAGTGCCAGGCTTAGGGGCCACGTGCTTGCCCACCTCCTCCCAGCACCTCTGGGGACCTCTGCAGATGCAAGATGCGGGAGACTGGTGCTCTCAGGAAAGGGCAGTGTGAGGCAGCCCCACAGGTCTGCCCCCTGCACCAGGCACGCTTGATGCGGAGATCCCTCGCCCACGCTTGATGCGGCCTGTCTTGGGGTGGACCCTCACAGCCTGCAGCTTTGAGGAAATGCAGAGCTGAAGGAGCCCAGATACCTCCCATTCAGCTTCCACACTTGCATCTCCCATCGCGATCTGTAGTTGAGGAATTCTAAATCAATTAGAATTGGCTCCTTTCTGTTTCTAAAAAGAGATTCTGACTCAAGGACCAAGCAGGGAACTTAAGGAGAGGAATATTTTGGATTTTCAGAGCACTCATCTAGACTTCCAGAGGCTGCTTGATAAAAGCACTTGATTAAAGAGAATGAAAAGAGAATAAAATAGTGCACTCTTACGACTTTAGAAAATGCATGCAGATCCACCCAGGACGTTCTGTCAGACCAGAGCTGATCCCTGCTGCAGTTTCTCCTCAGCAAACTCCTGTTCATCCCTTCAAACCCCCACTCAAATGCCCCTTCACCGTGGGGTACTTCCTGACCACGCTGTTCCTTCTCGCCTCTGTCCTGTCACCTGTATTTATAACCTTAATCTGTATTTTCATCTGCCATGGACATCTGATTTGATAGATACCAGACTTTCACACTCACAAAGCGAGGACTGAGCCTCCGGCTGCAACAATGTGCTCTGAATCCAAATGCAACCGAGGTTTCCAGGCTTCCTGGGTGACGTGGATTCTCCCCATATCTCCCCAGCTCCCATCCCGCACAGTGGGGACGGCTCCCACATCTTGATTATGCAAAACTCAAAAGGAAACAAAACCACAGTCCTTTGTAAACCCCTTCCCAGGATGGATGAAGGCCTCCTGGCAAATGGATGTTTCTAGAGAAGCCGTTGTACCTCATGCAGACTGCAGAGTGGCAGAGGCCCCAGTGGCCAGGGCCATTCAGACCTGACCCCTGCAGAGAGTCCCAACCTCAGGGGGCCAGAAAGTCGGGGTTCAAATCCCACCTTCAAGCTGCGTGGCCTCAGGTAAAGCCCTTGACGTCTGGAAGCCTCGATTCCCTCGTGTGTGACGGACACAGTAACAGCCCAGAATTTGGAGGATGAGTGTAAGGAGGATCTGAGACGCAGGTGAGGTGCTCAGGACCAGCTACAGTGGGAGCTTGATGAAGCTGGTATTTTTATTTTTGTCCCACATACTGTGATCGTGGTGGTGGGAACCTGTCTCTCTCTTCCCCAAGGCTTAGGGCAGGGTGAGAAAGGCTTGCGGGGGCCCCAGAAGCCTGGCGCTCCACGGTCTCCCAGGCTCCCTGCTGTGCTCTTCCTGTCTCCCTGCCCTGAGAGTGGTCAGCCAGTGGGCCCTGAGCAGGGCAGAAAGGGAGCAAGCCCATTCCCACCCCTGCCTGCCCCCAAACTCACTTCCTGCTACTCTCCTTCCTGGGGACTGGAGGGCTTTGTGGGAGGGATAGCCAGAGTGAGAAAGCACCCCAGAAGGGGCCAGTCTGGTGTAGTGGATCCACCAGACCTGGGTCCACTACAACAGAACTGAGGACCAAGAGGAAGCGGGCCTCCCTCAGGAAGGCGGAGTGTGGTTCCCACCTGGCAGCCACCCGCCTGGCTCCAGCCCACCCCTTGCTGCAGGGGTTTCTCCTGGGTCCCTGCACACCCAGGCCTGGCCCTGAGCCTGGCACACGCGGGAAGGAGTTGCTGAATAACTGAAAGTGACTGGGGACCTCGTGAGCCGGTCCTCGTGGGGCCTGCTTAACCTAAGGCAAGACTGAAGACAGCCAGCTTAGCCGGGTGATCGTCAGCCGCATCCAGGTTTGAAAGTCAGATGAAGGGACCCAGACCTTGCATCACCCTAAACAGGAGACAGAAGGAATATAGAATAAAATTCTCACACATTTCCCATTTTAAAGTCGAAGACTGGGGAGATCACACTTTGAATAGCAGCAGCAATGATAATAGTAACTTTCACTGAATGCCTGTTCAAAAGTCAAGTGGCCGACCTCAGTTGGTATGACGATGGACGGGACGTGTCGTCACATCCTTACCGCAGCCCTGAAGAGCAGACTTAT